TACATGCATGACTTTTCAAAGGTTATAGACTCTACATTTGGTGTGTCTGTAGATCCTGATTAGAGGAATGTTTTTAAAAACCGAAAGATGTCTTTTAAGTCTTTACAGGAAGAGTTTGGAGTGTCTGAAACCCCTAAGCTTCATGTAATTTTCACACATATTGAGCAGTTCATTGACATCACAGGAAGGGGACTTGGTCAGTTTTTAGAACAGGAGTTAGAAAACTCACATTCAGCATTCTTGGTGGTTTGGCAGCGATACCTGATAAAAGACATTTCTTCAGCTAGATATATGGAGTTTAAGGCTATCCTAAACTTTAATGCTAATAATATTTGGTTACATACTGTGCAATAATATGTATTTTCAGTTTTTTATATCTATTTAAGTTGTACTTAACTGAAAACAATATTTTAAATTACTTAAAAAAAATATTTTATCCCTTTTTTTTTTGCGAATAATATAGTTTAAGTAATGTATGTTTATTCAAAAAACTCCTTGCTTTGTATAAAATTCCTATGCTTTTTGATATTTTACTACTCAAATTTTTTATGTGACTTTTCCATGAAAAATTTACATCAATATAAATACCAAGAAAGTTGGTAACTATTACTTTTTTTAGAACTATGTTATTAATAAAAAGTGGTGGCGTATGATTTGGTATAAGATTTTTTTTGTGACTTGGATGGAAAAAAATCCATTTTGTTTTATGAATATTAAGAGACAGTTTATTTGTCTTAAACCAATCAGAAACTCTTACTAGTTTATTATTAATGTACTGAAATAACAATGCAATATCATTATAAAATAAAAATAAGTTCGTGTCATCTGCAAACATAATTGTCATTAAATTTGAGGCTTTATGGAGATCGTTGATGTAAATAAGAAAGAGAAGAGCCCCTAATACTGATCCCTGAGGAATTCCACAGGTTTACTGGTAAAACTACATCAACGTATACAAATTGCTTTTGATTATTTAAATAGCTTTTTAACCAATTTAATACACTTCCGTTTATACCGTAAATCTTTAGTTTATTTAAAAGAATAAACTAAAGCGGTCCGAGGTTCGACGCCGGCTCTAGTTAAACAAGCGGCATTGGTACGGGAGGAGACGTGAACTTCCAGTTAAATGCTCTCCCGCGGTGCTCCTTGATAAGACCGTTAGTACTTCTGGGAGCACCTAAATAACCTAAAATAAAAATAAAATAATAGAAATAAAAATTAAGATCCTGTCACTGAGAACCGTTTAACAATTAACCAATCAACAATAAATATAACCGTTTAACAATTAACCAATTAACAATAAATATAACCAGTTAAATAATTACAATAATTGACGTTTAGAAATAAAATTTAAACTTAACCAGATATTTCAAAACATAAAATAACGTTTGACAACATAAAGAGTATATATAAAACAAAATATTTCAAAATAAAACAATATATTTAGAATCACAAACTTTTTTAAAAGGTATAAACTCAAAAGAACTCAAAGATATTATCAATTGACAAGATAACTTTTTTAAGCTTAATTTTAAAAGTAAGGAAACTCCAACTTTGAGAAAAATCAAAATTTTTCAAAACTATTTTTTTCCACAGAAGAGCTCCGTGATATGTTAAAAGAGATCTTCCAAAACTTTTATGAGAACAATGTTGATGAATAAGATTGTCATTTCTAAAGTCATATTTGTTTTTTTGCTTTATTGCATATAAATTTTGAAAGGATATAAGGGTTAGGTTTGTCTTACATTTGTACATAAATAAAAGAACATTAAAAACATTTTGCTGGTATATATTAAGAACATTCATTTCTAATAAAAGAGGTCTGGCATGAGTATAGCAATCTTTAAACTTTATTTGACGTGCTATATGCTTCTGTTGCCAATATAGAGGATCTAATTGAATTTTTTTAGCACTACCCCATGCGATATTTGCATAGTTTATATGGCATTGGATTAGCGAGTGATAAAGTTGAATTAATGAATGTCTTTTTTCAAAATTTCTCGCTTTATACATTACTCCAATATTTTTTGAAACCTTATTGCGTAAAGTTTTGAAATGGTTTTTCCATGTTTTTCATCAATGAAAACACCAGAAAAATTTGACTTTTGATTTTTTTATTTGAACATTGTCAATATATATTTGAGGCTATCATTTGTTAAAAGTTTTTTTTAGGATTTTGGATGAAATTTAAAGATTTTTTCTTTTTAAAGATTTTTCCAAGTTAATTGATAGTTAATTTGACTTGAACTAATTTGAAATTTTAGCTCTATATAGATGTCATTAAATAATTTATTGATATTTTTACCGGATAGAAAAAGATTTGTATCATCAGCAAACATCACTGTCTTCAAATTTGAGGCATTGAGCAGATCATTAGCATAAATGAGAAAAAGCAGTGGCCCTAGTATAGACTCTTGGGGAACACCACATGTTATATCTAGTAAACTTGTTGAGGAGAATACGTCAATTTGTACAAACTGCTTACGATTGCTTAGATAGCTTTTTAGCAAATTTAATAAATTTCCGCTGATTGCATAGTTTTAAGTTTTTGTCTAAGAATCTCATGATAGTATCAAAGGCTTTTGATAGATCAATAAAAACTCCAAGAGTAAAACTGTGGTTTTTCAAAAGAATTAACAGTATTACTAGATACATGAAGTATGGCATATTCAGTAAAATTATTTTTTTAAATCCATCTTGACTGGCATTTAATATTTTATTTTTAGAAAGATGTCCAAGATGTTCATATATTTTGTTGTAAAGAATCTATATAGAAGAATATATCAAGAACTTATATTGGGAGTTTTCAAAAGAGTTAGTAAACTTTTTCGTAAAAATAAAACTAAACATAAAACTAAACTTAAATCATTTTATTGGCATCAGAAACACGCAGCTCGCATAATAAATTTTAAAAATCGTTTTTCGAACTCTGAACCGCTTTTTAAAGAAATGGACACCTTAAATATTTATCAACTAAATGTATTTAATCTTTTGTGTTTTATGTGCATATGTAAAGAACTTATGTTTCCCCGATGTATTTGTAAACCTTTACAAAATTAAACCCCAAAACAAATATAACCTACGTAATATAACATTTTAGAAAAAACTTTTTGCAATAATAAACGAATTAAGTTTTGCATATCTTATTGTGGACCTTTTCTCTGGAATGAAATAGTACGGCCTAATTTTGTTTTTTCATCTAATTTGACCTATTTGTCTTTCAAATAATCTATTAAAAAGAACATTTTTTTAACAAAAAAAAATAATAATAATAATATATTGATGTTGAAACAGAGATAATCCCTGCAGAACCTATTACACTAGGTTATTACAATCGTTACTATAAACATTACCATACAAGGTCAATTATTATCATAAATATGTTAAATGCAATGTTTCAAGGTCAATTAATATCATAAATATGTTAAATGCAATACTAAAAATAGTATTTTTTTAAAGACGTGAAAGATAAAAGAAACAATGTGAAAAAAGCTGCTTAAAAATTGCTATAAAGTTTAAAATCTTTTAAGGTTTATTTAACTGGTTAAAAATTCTTAACACTAAGTGATGTTTTGTAACAATCATAACAAAATGATATTTTATATATAGCATAATGATGTTCGATAAATGTATAACACAGTAGCATTCTATTACAATAGCACAAACCTTTTCTATGGCTACCCATGACATTACTCTGACATTCAAAAATAAAGTTTTTACAAGTTTTATTAGTAGCTGATGGTGTTGGTATTTTTCATGTTGTCAATGACCTCAGTGCATCTTCTGTTGATATTTTAAATAATTTTTTATTTATATTTTTTTGCTATTTTATTATCAATTAATTTTTTATTTTTATTTTATTTTATATTTAAATATAAAAGAAAAGAAAATTTTTAAAGAAAACATTTTTTCTTGCAATAAAATTTAAAATAGAAAAATTTAAAAAATTATAATTTAATAAAGAATTTTTTTTTTTAATCTTATTGTATTATAATAGATCAAATAGTCAACTGATTTTCTTGACTAGTGAACCGGTGACTATCTTAGTGAACTGGTGACTATCTTAGTGAACTGGTTACTATCTTAGTGAACTGGTGACTATCTTAGGCTAGCGATACTTTTAGGTTGGTAATACTCTTAGGTATACATTATAATATCTTTTAAAATGTACTAAAAAATACTTGAACCATTTATTCTATGCAAAAAATACTAGACTAGTAAAAACAACTTTTTTCATCGCATTTTATTGAAATATTTTTATTTTATTTAGGTCATATTGATTAAATGCTAACTTGAGTGCACTAAAAGCATATGTAAAAAAGCATTTTTTAAATATATTTCTGAATCTATTGTCTAGAAGAATGTAGTACTTTTCTACTTTTTCATGTCTCAAATATCTGAACAAGCTACCTACATAAACATATTACATTTACCATTTAAAATAAATTTTCTTTACACTTATAAGATTTTTCAACTCAATAAATATTGAATGCCTTACTTTATTCTTAGTTGAAGCATATAAAGTAAATTATCTTCAATAGTTTTTTAATTTACACACAACTATTGGCAGAACTATACGCAAGTTCTTTGCATAAAAAAAGTTAACAATTTATTGTATTAGACATTTATTAGACATTTAGTTTTTTATTTATTAGAATAAAAAAAAGATTCAAACAAATTTCATGTAATGTGTAAAAATTTCATGCAATGTCTATAAAATTTCATGCAATGTCTACAAATTTTATGCAATGTCTGCAAATTTTATAAAATGCCTGCAAATAATAATTTGACGAAGTAAATATTATTAGACTTTATTTTTTGTTTTATAAGATAAAAATGTGTGCAACAAATTTCAAAAAAAAACTTAATGTAATTATTTTATTTAAAATCTTATCTAAAAATTATTTTTACAATTAAAGTTTTCTACAAATAATTGTTACAATAAACATTATATACAATATTAATTAATAATTGTTACAATAAATATTATATACAATAATTACATTTCAGGGTTTAAATTTTTAAACTAGTTTGAAGTTTTAAAATTTTTTTAAGCGTATTTTTATTCACTCAAGTTAATTTTTCTTTTAATATTTCTTGAGTAACTTTTTGCCTTGCATATTGGACAAACAGGTGCATTTCTATGAATATTGTTTCCACATGATAAGCACGTCTTCATTGGGGGTCCTGTCAAAGGTTTTGCTCTTAAGCTTGAGGACCATTCGTTTGGTTTATTGCCTAAAGGTGAACATAGGTCATCAGAACTTTTTCTTTCTTTTATGCTGTGATGTGAGCTTGATAAACACATTTTTTTTACAGCTTCATGTTGCCATGACTCTCTCTCCCTAACAGAAATAATAGTTTTTATTATTAATTATAGAAGTCATTAATAATATATCAATAAAACTTTAAATGTTGTTAAATATCATAAAAGAGTGTAAGCTTTACTTTTCACAGATGTGGCACGGTGTGTATACTTCTTTATTTATTGAAGGGTTATACAACTTAAAGTGATTCTCTTCTGATTCTTTACTACGGAGATATGACCTTATCTGTAAAACAATAAAAGTTAATTTTTTATTTAATCTTAATTTAAAACTTTTAAATATCTATTTTCAGTTATTAAAATCTTTATTTATTTTTTTCACTTTTTTCATTATATCTTAATTTATTAGATTTTAACATTTAATTGTTAGATTTTTTTTTTTACCTGTAGCAATTTCATTTGTATTTCGTTTAATGCTTTTAAATGATTTGCTTCTTCTTGCTTTAAAATTGCTTCAACTTGACTTAGTTCCATGATGCTGAATATTGCTGAATAGAATTTTGAATCTTTAATATGTTCACACACAGTAGATTTTAAAATTATTTAAAAAAATTTGTAAAAACTTATATGGACCAAAAATGTTGTTTTACCTTCGACTATTTTATTCTTGTAATGTTTAAGATTCTAACAACTGTTCTATTTATGTAAAGCTTTACACAAAAGTTTCTTTTGGATTCTATCAACTCTTGCTGGTTTTGTTCAACTGCTTTAATATCAATTTTAGAGTATATGTTTCACCTGTTATTTTCTTGTTGTTTTGTTGCATTCTTTATTAAATGCTTTTTTATATCAATGTATTGATATAATGTATTTATTATGTTTTATGTATTTATTTGCATTTATTATGTTATTATTCTTATATTTTCTTTTGTTATTCTTCTTTGAAATCGAAATTTTAATCAGTGATTGTAAATTGATGCTCTTGTGGCTTCTATTCTTTGTCAGCATAAATTATGCATGCAATTTATTATGTTAAAGTCTTTGTTGCAATGAGAAAAAAATTTTAGTACCCTTGCAACTTTTCTGATTTTATAGTATCAGTTACTTATAAGAAACATGCTATTCTTTTTTTAAAATTAAATGAATGGTTTTTTAATTAGATCTTTTTAGCATTGTTTTTTTTTATTTTAGATGTTTATTTTGTGCTTTATATTGGATTTTATTCTATTTATTTATTCATAAAGATAGAAAAATCTTTTTTTTTTAACTTGAATAGAAGTACCTCTATATAATTGAGTTATCATACTGGATGTCATTATTGATACTAACAAATAAGTGCATTTTTGCTTCTCACTATTTCTCTTTGTTTTTATCTTTTAAATGAAAAACATGTAATAAAATATTCTTTTTAAAAGAAAAGTTTTTTAATAAAATATAAAATTATTATAATAGTTGTAGATTTGAAATTTAAATTATTTTACTATTTATACTGAAATTTTGTATTTAAATATAAAATATAAATGGTATTAAAATTATTTTAGAAATAGTATTATATTAATTAACAAATAGTTTTAAAAACATTTTAATCTTTTTTTTAACACATTCTTTTAACTGAACCAAACAAGTTTTATCAAACTAAACATGATTTCGGGTTCCGATTCCCTTAAGATTGTGAGCTGGTTATATAAAATATATGTTTTTTGATTTTAGAGGAACCGTTCTATTTGGATAAAATAGGACAAGTGTGGTTATAGTGAGATAAGCAAGTAATTAACTGCATATTATCAAAAATTATTACTTAACTAATAATAAAATTGTAAACCACGTAATCTTCATCAAAATATTCTAAAGGTTTTCACAATATCATTACACAAAATATGGGAGAGAAGTGAGACAGCAATTATTGTATTTTTTTACTTTATCTCTTAAAAAAAACTAAAACCACAAACCAATAAAGTTACAAAGTTTATATATGTTATATAAAATTACAAGATAATTGCGTTTCTTTATAAAATTAACAAAATACGCAAAGGAGTTAAAGATATACACTTACTTGAATTATAAAGCTGTGGGTAATACTCACTATTATGCTCTTATAATGAGTATTACTCATAGGATACTTTTAAAATATGCGGATTTAAAAACTTAGGGAGATAAAGTGATGTCTGTTAAATAGATTGGAAGAAACTTCTTTGTTTACATTAGATAAAATTAGTTAGAAACCTCTCCTAATATGAACTTTTAGGCGGTCCCACCTCTCTCGCGTCCCATTTTCCCCATTCTCCATAACACGTTATTTTAAAAATTTGTCTTAAAAGATTTTTAAAACCTAGTTATTACCTGATTCATCTCTTTTGTGTGTGTGTTTTTTTTTTAATATTTTACAATGTTTTTTTATATATTAAATGAGTTGTTTATTTTACATTGAAAAGATATAAAGGATATTTTATATTTGCTAAAGTGATCATTAGAAAGATTATCAAAGATTGCACTTGAAAAAATGTTGTCATTTTCTTTTAAGCTAGATTTATTTACTTTTAAGCAACTTCTATCTCTAATCATTTCATACATATTACGTATCACAAATCCAATATCTGGATTTTTTCTTGTTAAAAATAAACTGGGAAAAAATATATATTTTATGAAAAGTTTATCGCGCGACTCGCAAATCAACTGAATTAAGAAGTCTGCAAGATGTTTAAATATTGTGAAATCAGAAATCGTGAAAGCACCTGAATGATAATTACTATTATCATCATTCACACGAACAAGCATTTTAACGCTTATATCAGGACTGAATTAAGTAGAGTATTGACAACATTACGAATTGAGTATAGAATCAATTACATTACGAACAGAACATCTTAGTTTATCAGTTGTAAAGTTTACAGTTTTGAATTTTCCAGGATCAGGTTAACTCTTTGCCACTGTTAATTTTAGGCGCTATAATCATACGCAAATATGAAATTTAACTGATCAGCTGTTTGAGTAAGCCCAAATTATTTACATTTTTTGGATTTAACGGGGTTTGGGGCACATTGATACATAGGGCTCATATATACAGTAGGTTTTATATGAAAACAATGTTTTATTATTAAAAAAAATTTATTTTTTATAATAAAACATTGATACATATACATTGATACACATACACATTGAGACACATTAACATATATTGTTACATTGATTCACATAAAGATTGATATGGGATATACCTAGAATTTTAGATTTAAACTCTTCCGACTCTTTCAAAGAAGTTGAATTACAAGATGTAGAAGAACTTGATTTAGAATTTTCCCTATAATGCTGCGGTTGACCTATTTCCGATTATACTGCGGTAGACCTTGTCCATACTGCTCCACCTATATAGCAGTATGGACAAGATGTTGTTTATAGTCAATATGTTGGTAGACATACGCTCTTAGCTTGAAAATAGTTAGGTAATAGTTTCCCGCTAAAAAATAGATTTTAGAGTGAAAAAACAATTTTTTGGTTTTTTGATGTAAAATCTTCAATTCCAGGTGAATCATTCAGATCCTAGTTATGAACGCTGCCAGAGAATACAATAATTAAATAATAGAATAACAGAAGAATTAATAAAATAAGAATTTGAAATAGAAGAATTTGTAAAATAAAGGTTATGTTGAAAAAATCAAGGGAATCGTTACAAACTCATATATAAATATATATATATATATACATATACATATATATATATATATATATATATATATATATATATATATATATATATATATATATATATATATATATATATATATATATATATATATATATATATGAGTTTGTAACGATTCCCTTGATTTTTTCAACATAACCCTTATTTTGGACATTTCAGACATTTTCTAAAGTCTTCACTTTAAGTGCCTCTTTTTCCGGGGTATCTGTGGCTAATATCTTTTTGATAATAGCCACAGATACCCCAGAAAAAGAGGCCCTTGCAGCTGCAAAAAAAGTATGAATAGCGAAGAAGCTTACAAAAAAGACAACCAAGAAAAACGTTCTACAGGGAAAAACCTCTAAAAAAGCAATCCTTCGAAAATCGTTGTCAGATGAATCAATAGACCTACAAATTCCAACGATTAAGAGTACATATTACCTTGATGACAATGGATTCGATTACAGCAATGCTGATACTTTTGATGTGCCAGAACGAAGATTTATAATTGTAATGTAATATGGATGTGGCAAACAATCAAGTCGTAACTATACAGCAAAAGTTGTTAAAAGAGTAAAAGATGGTTATGAAGCAGAGTTTTATAAAAATAAAATTCCTTGCTATACATTAATAAGAACTAATAAAGAACTTGCGCTTATCGCCTATTCTGATGTAGTGCGTGCATTGCCAGTTCCTAAAGAAGAAAAGGGGTTTCGTTTTAAGGAAATGATATATTTTAAGTGCAATTTGGATGAATACCAATTGCAATAATTTACAAATGAAAAATAGACTATCATTGTTGAAACTGCGTATTTATTTGTTTGATGTCCATAATCTTCCCGATACATGTCTGATATACGTGTCCAAAGTTACCCGCATGCGAGGTGGCTTTGGACACTTGACTAGCATTTTTAAAATAGTTTTTAAACATTGAAAATTAAGAAATATAAAGAAGTATTAAAATGTTAAAATTAATCATTAGTAATACTAATTATGTTATCAAATAGATAGTTTGATTTGTAAACTTTATCAATAACTTCAGTAGTTTGACAAAAAAAATATGAAAAAGAAAAAACTTTGAAAAAATGCAATAGTTATTAAATAAGTCCAATTAAAGTAAAAACTGTCCGAAGGCTCCCCGGTCTACCCGAAAATATGAGGGTTTTGTTTATGTTTCTGAAATATTGTTAAAAAAAACTGTGTTAAAAAGTTTCAAGGTCCCGTAATTAAGATACAGATACGAAATCCCGTAATCAAGGTACAAGTGGGTTGTTTCTTTTTAATTTTAAAATAAATTTGTCTTCTTACAATATTTCTCTTTAGGTAATTGACAACATTGTAAAATAATTATGAATAAAAATTAGAAAAGGTTTTTCATTATTATTAGCTATAAATAAATGCTTCTGGCTTGAACCAATATAACCCGTGATAGGGGCAGTTTGATACGAAGTACACTTTTTCATTTAATGGGTCTTAAAACCTTTTCTAATAAATCCTAAAGATAACTTTTTTCAAATAAGATTACTTGTATAAACAACAAACTCATTGTAATAGCTTTATTATTACTTTAACGTCATTGTTATAATTTTTTTTTTTCATTTTAAAGTAAATATGAATCAACATGCTCCAACACCCCCTATAAGGCCGTCCAACACCCGCTATATATAAATATAAGGAAATATAAGGCCGTTGTGTTCTTTAAACCTTTTAAGAAGCTCTACGATTTTTTGAGTTTCTTTATTTTCATAATTCTGATGCTGAATTGCCTTCAATTGACGCGCTGATTTCAATGTAGCTAAGAAATCAGCTTCCAGCTGCATGACTTGTCCAACTTTGCCGGAGATCCTTGCCCATCTCCAACATTTTTTAATCTTGCTTATAGATAACTTTAAAAAAGTTTGAACTCAGCTGTAGATATGGGTTTTTAATACTTTTTTTCTACAAATCTTTCAGTGCAGCCTGTTCCACGTCCCGCTGCCTTGCAGGATTTGCTTTCTAGGCATTGGCTAAAAGAAGTGTAAACTTTGATAATGACTTTGATTATGGAGGTGACTTTGATAATTTTGCTTGTTAGTTACAGAGGTTTTGACCTAAAAAGAAATTGTAAAATAATCATTTTAAT